AGCTTTTCCATAGATATGTTCCACGAACATGTAGGAGAACTTAAAATTTTCCTAATCTCTCATTATTGACAAGGTTTCTGCATTGTAGATTGATAGGATAATTACTTATAGCACCATGCAGATGACAACGCATTTATCATGTCAAAATTCATCAATGGAGTCAAGGAAGAAATTTTATGCACCTATATGTCCATTTGATGTATTTAAGGCCACGGTTAAGGGACATGATATGATAAGAACAAAAAACACCACCTGACTGCCAGTGTCCACGCAGCTCAATTGTGTGTTTGTGGTTGTATTCCAGAATCGAATACATCGATCAGCTGTACCACCCCCAGATGCAAGAAGGCCATTCAGATGGGGAGACCAAGTAATTGCTTTTACAGCAGCAGTATGATCACAGTATTTCAGGACAGGTTGAGTGGAATGTTGGTTCCAAACGAAAAGCTGCATATAGATGAGATTTTCCATTCAATCATTTTTTAAGTCAATGAACACTAAGCCTTGGAATAAGTCAGATAGGCAAAATAAATGTTACAAACTTTGTTGTCATTTCCACCCGATGCCAGTTCACGGTTATCATAAGACCACTTCAGTCCACAAACCTACATAACGCCCAATAGTTATTCAGACTCAGAATTCAGAACATGAGCATATAGCATGAGCCATGAATGAACACAATAATTATCGGTAGCACATGCAGTTTCCTCAAAAAAATAACTAGCATGAGAGCATGAATTCTTGATAAAACATGAAACAAAATGAGGCATTTATGAAATCAAAGGACATACATATAAGAAAAACTTGTGTTAGAGAAAAATCCAGTTGTAATAATATCCATAGATACATAAACAAAATTCTTTGAATCAAACTGATGAGTGATAAGAGTCTAACCTCTGACTTGTGACCAGAGAGTTTACTAGCAAAATCATCCTGAACACGTACATCTCTTTGAAGAATGCTCTTATCACGACTGCCAGAAGATAACAGAGAAGAGCTCCATGCTAAGGCCCCAACGCGTAATCGATGCCCCTCCATTGTTCTCACCCTCTGGCAGCGAGATGCATCCCAAATCTACATCCAAAGTGATAGCCATTAACTAACTGCATTATCCTACAAACAAATAGCAGGAAGTCGGATTTTGAAAGAAATGATAAGTCTAGTGCAAAGGAAATAGTGAGGAAAGATTATCTCTCAAGCCCAAAGCAGCGCTGAAATTGTCGCTTTCCATGGCCATTGTACAAGCATTAAGTTACTGATTTATGTCAAAGTTTATTAAATCCCAAATATTCAAGGAAAAGATCAGAACTAAGTTTTAAAATTTCAAGTAATAAATTCTTAGAAGCAATTAAAGAATGTATTTTCCTTACATGAGGAGGTTAAAATAGATTTCAAAAACTAATAAAATAGAAAGATTCAGTCCCAAATTTTCCCATGCTTGCATCTGAAAAGACCATTAAACAGTTTTCTAGTTTCCCTCTGGCCAGAATCCATAAACTATGGATAGAAGCTTTTATTTTTGGGTCATAGTTATCTGATTATTGAAGCAGATTCTGACCAAATTTAAGCTTTTTCTCTACCCCTTATGCATCCCAATAGTTAACTACAATGTTAAAGTTTTCTAAGCTACATCATAAAGTCCAACTATTATATAATCACATAAAGGAAAAAAAACATGTAAAAACATCAGTAAATTCAAGAACAATTCCATAGAAAAATAAACATTATTAATTGCCAGCTAAATCAACTGAATAACCATAAATATTTACTCTTCAATCTTCATATTGTTTTTACAATTCAACAATACTTTTCATTGGGAGATAAAGCTTTCAAACTTCGCATGCATTCTGTCACCCGTTTATGAAACAACTTTGAGAACATTACTGCATTTGTTAAGAACTAGTGCTTTCATTCTTAGTTATACTCAAGGCATTACCGATCACATGATTAAACTATCTAGCGGTAACAGCCTAAAAGTGACACAGCAAAATCAGAAAGCAAGCATACACAGATAGAGGAACTAAAAATGTTGGCAACAAAACGGTTTTTATCACAAATACTAATAAAATTAAACCTGAACTTTGCCGCTGCTAGTCCCAACCGCAAGATGAGTTCCACGTTGAGCCCAACCAACTGAACACACACTAACATCAATCCCCAAATCACACAACTTGGTAACCTTACTACTACAAGCATTCCACAAATAAACACAATTCCCCAACCCCACAGCCAACACATTATTAGATGACCAATCCACCAAATTCAAATAGAAATCGTCTTGTAATGCAGGTGCATCCAAAACCTACGAAAATATAATAACAAGCATTAGCCCCTAAAAAAAGCAACCAAATTTAACGTGAAACCCATTAAAAAACAACTCACCTTGTAAGGTGACATGGGAACTTTCCTGGGAGCCTTAACGGGGCTATGACTAATCCCGGAAACCGATTCATCAAGCCCGAAAGGTGAAAGCGAGTGTAATGCTCGTTTAGTTTCTGTCTTATACCGGAATATATTACGGCAAGACGGAGGTGTCAATGAATCCTTCTTGTCTGGCGTGTCGGGCCCAAAAAGTGCGGCTCGTAGAAGCCTGTGATAAGAACCGGAACCATCCTCTTTTCCTTCAACTGAGGTCAGAGAATTTGATATGTCAAAAAGGCCGAAATTGGATCCCGATCTGCTGGGGATGAACCTATCAGAATAAACTGTGCGCGACGGGGAACTGTTGTAGTTGGAGTTGAGCAGCCGGTTAATGTGCATTGTCCGAGAAGTGATGTTTTGGAGATGGAGGGACGAGTCAGACATCGTGGACGACGGGAGGTTGAGACGTGGAGTTGCCGGAGCTGATTTGATACGTTGATTACTTAATATAGGATCGTCCATTAAAAATAATTGTGTTTTTTAGGGTAAGGGTGAAAATCAGGCAAACCCTAAAAGGAGAATAATTGAGAGGTTGACGACTAGTTATTGCTTGGGTAGACCTTTCTCCGTCTTTTAGATTCCTTGTCTGGTGACCAAATATCGTTGCCTGTTTTATATTTTTTGCGCGAAAGGTAGGAATCCAATACGGACCAGTCTATAATGAAGCTGAGTCGGTTTATTTCTTATTTTTTGAATTGAAAGCTGAGTCATAACGTTCCCAGCGCACGATAGCCGGTTTTCTGTGGGTGCACGTTAGTAGGCCTAACGTTTCTGGAATCTCCGTCGTCGCTCCGGTGTGGGTTCGTCTTGTTTGCTCATCCTCTTTCACTCTCTCATCAACGTTTTCTTGTTCAGATCGATTGTATCATGGATTGGAGGAAATTGTTCGTAAGTTCGAAAGGGCACAGCTTGGATTTCTTTCCCCCAAAATCGCGTACTGGTCCTCCGTTGGTCTAACCACCGCCGGAGGTTTTCGAAGAAGGGATTGCTGATTGGAAGCTTTCTTTAGTGGGGCAGTTCCTTGGGCCTCCTCCGAACTATTCCACTCTGCAGAGAACAATACAAACTATGTGGAAGAAAGCTCTTCAAGGTAACAACGCCCAGATTAGTCTGGCAGTAACAACGTTTACGTTTCTCTTTCAATTCAGAAGCTGCTAGGAACTGGGTATTAGAGAATGGACCGTAGCATGTCTTTAACAAACCTCTGATCTTAAGGAAATGGGAGCCAAACCTGAAAAAACTTGATTTTGATCTTACTAAAATACCTGTTTGGATTCATCTATTTAATGTGCCCTTAGAACTCTATTCAAGAGCTGGACTTAGTCATATTGCAAGTGCCATTGGAGTACCTCTCTCAATGGATATTGTTACAGCATCTAGAACAAGGTTAGAATATGCTAAAGTATGCATCGAAGTTGGTTTGAATGATAAAATACCAGAGTTTGTGATGTAGTTTTAAATGATGGATTTGTCACTTCTATTTATGTTGAAATTCCATGGTTACCACCAAGTTGTCAAAAATGTAGTGTGTTTGGGCATAGCGATAAACACTGTAAAGAACAAAAACATACTGCCCCAACCCAAGTATGTAAAAAGAAAGAAGTAACACAGAATCCTACTGTAGTAACTCCTTTAGAAGGAGAAATCGAGCTTCTACAAGAGTGTATGCTTTCTAAAGATAATGAAACTAAGGAGCTTAACCCTACGGATATCAGTAATGAAGCTGGAAACAATAATGTTTAATCTGATCACGTTGGTACTACTGGAAATGATGTTACTGAAATTTCTGTTACATATGAACCTATCTAAATGAAAGTATCGTTAACCCTGAACCTACTGTTATTAAAAAGGGTAGAGGTAGGCCTCCTAAAGAAAATGCTAAACCTGTCCTGACTGGTTCAAGGAACAGATTTGAAATCTTAACTGCAGCAGATGACCTATCTTCTTCTTCAACGGAAGCTCATCTTAAAAAACGAGTTGTATCTTCTGGAGTTGTTGCCTTTGTAAATGAACTGAAATCAAAGAAAAATGATAGAATGGACAAAGTTAAAAATGTTGAAGTGAGTAGTACTGTGACTGCCACTTCCTCTTCCTCTCAATGATTGTAGGTTTTTAGAACATTAGAGGACTTAACAGTCCTCTTAAGCAAGTAAGTGTGTTGAAGAGAGCTAATTTAAATAATATTGATGTTTTCTGCATTTTGGAAACTAGAGTTAAATCCAGTAATTCGACTGCAATTCTTAACAGCAAATTTGAGCACTGGAATTCTTGTACTAACTATGACTTTGCTGAGAATGTAGGATTTTGGTACTTTGGAAAAAAGGTCTTGATTTCTCTGTTATCCATGTTTTTGGTCAATGTATCTCTCTCAAAGGTTATTACCTTAGGTCTCCCCTGATCATTACTGTTGTCTATGGCAGTAATGATGGGGTTATAAGAAGACAACTTTGGTAGCATCTTTCTGACTTGGGCAGACTGTATGGTAACCTTCTTGGATCCTGGGAGGAGACTTTAATGTCATCCTTAACTCCAACGAAAGTTCTAACTCTACCCTATTAGGACCTTTTCTTACTTCAGACATGAAAGAGTTCCAAGATACCCTCTTCGACCTAGAACTTTCCGATCACCCTTTCTTTGGCCCCACCTTCACTTGGAGTAACAAACAACAAGAATCTCACCTCGTGAGAAAGCTTGATAGGGTTATATTTAACCCTTCGTGGTTTACTACTTTTCCAAAATCTCATGTGGAATTTCAAGCACCGGGTATTTCTAATCACTGTTTGGAAATGGCTTGGCTTGCTAAAGAGACTTATGTTGACCATCCTAAACCTTTTAAATTTTTTAACTTTTGGGCTAAACTTCCAAACTTCCTGAGTGTGGTTAGACAGTCTTGGCAATCATCTTCTAATGGCAGCCCTATACAGAACCTGTTTTCTAAATTAAAGCTCCTCAAAGCCAGCTTGAGATCCTTCAATCAGCTTTTCTATAGTGATATCTTAGCTCGTGTTAAAAAAAGAAATTGGAGCTGGAAAATCAACAACTTTTATCTCTAAGAGTTGAAGATTCTTTCATAAAGAGCTTCTTATTCAAAATGAGTTGAAAAATTTAGAAGAGGCTGAAAATATGTTCTTAAGACAAAAGTCTTAGATTCAATGGCTTAAAGACGGTGACAAATGCACAAAGTTTTTTCATTCTGCAGTTGCCGTTAAAACTAAGAGGGAAACTATCAGAGTTCTTGTTGATGACAATGGGAACAAATTAGAATCCTATGATGAAATGGATGCTGAACTGATTGGGTATTTCACTAACTTGATTGGAACAGAAAATACAGAAGTTAAAGCCTGCGACCAGAATATACTTCATAATTTTCTTCAATACTCTCTGCCTTCAGACATTTCGAATGCACTTATTAAAGAAGTAACACGAGAGGAGATTAAAGAAGTTGTTTTCTGTCAAGGTAATGAAAAAGCTCCTGGTCTTGATGGTTACACTCCTTATTTCTTCAAGATAACCTGGCCTATTATTGAAAATGATGTGGTTGCTGCTATTACACATTTTTTAAGGAATCTATTATGCTGCCTGCTTTCAAAGCAACTTCAATCACTCTGGTACCTAAAGTCCCAAACCCATGCAAGGTTAAAGATTTCAGGCCTATTTCCTGTTGTTCAGTTGTCTATAAAGCTGTTACAAAAATTCTGGTCAAAAGACTAACAAATTTACTCCCTAATATTGTTTCCCGAAATCAAACTACTTTTGTCAAAGGAAGGAACATTGATAACACTCTTCTTGCACAGGAGCTAGTCAGAGGTTATGGTAGGAAGACTATCTCTCCTAGGTGCTCATTGAAAATTGACATCCACAAGGCTTTTGATTCTCTGCATTGGGATTTTATCTCTGCTGTTCTGAATGCTATTGGTCTTCCTAGAATTTTCATTAAATGGGTTGAAGCTTGTTTCACAGGAGCTCGTTATTCCATCTCTTTCAATGGAAGTCTAATTGGTTATTTCAAAGGGCCAAAGGCTTAAGACAAGGTGATCCTATTTCACCCATGTTGTTCGTCCTTTCCATGAACGTGCTTTCCAAAATTCTTAATAAAGCTGCTCTTAGAGGTATGTTTGGCTTTCACCCTAGATGCAAAAAAATTGGTTTAACTCACCTAACTTTTGCCGATGACTTGCTTATCTTTTGTAAAACAAATGTGGAATCTGTCGTGGGGGTTATTAGTGTATTGGATTACTTTTATGAAATTTATAGCCTTAAGATCAATGCACATAAATGCGAATTCTTTGCTGCTGGAATCTCCCCTACGAAAATTGATGAAATCAAAAGAATTATTGGATTCAACCAAGGCTGTTTACCAGTTAGATACCTAGGTGTTCCTTTGGTTTCTAGGAAACTATCAGATAAAGATTGTGTGGCACTCATAGATAATATCAGGGACCGTCTTCACAAATGGTCGAGAAAACACTTAAGCTATGCTGGTAGACTAGAGCTAATTAAAATGTTCTGCTTAGCATCACAAATTTCTGGTGCAGGCAATTAATCCTTCCTTAATCTGTCCTTAATAGAATTGAACAACTATGTTCTCATTTTTTTGGAAAGGTTCGGACAAGGCTGCAACTGGTGCAAGAGTGAGTTGGGGTAAGCTTTGTCTTTTAAAATCAGAAGGGGGTTTAGGTCTTAAAGATATTAAAGCTTGGAATAAAGCTTGTATGATACATTTGATCAGGAAAGTACTAGCGGGTGATGGTTCTTTATAGATTGCCTGGATTAATAACTATATTATTAAAAAATCAGATTTTTGGCACATGGACACTGGAACGAACACTACCTGGAACTTTCGATGCATACTATGTATGAGACCTCAAGCTTCCACTGTTCTTTCTTCGGGAGCTAACACGATAAAGGACATTTGGCTTCAAATTCGTAATAGTAATGATAAAGTCACTTGGCATAAGTTAATATGGTTTCCATTTCATATCCCTAAGTTTAGTATTATTACTTGGATGGCATTTTTAAATAGACTTCCAACTAAAGACAGTTGATTCGAATGGGGTTTGAGATCGATGATAAATGTGTGCTTTGCAATGACTCTCAAGAAACTAGAGATCATTTATTTCTTCACTGTGCTTTGTCTACTTCTTTATGGGATGCTGTTTTGAACCTCAATGGATTTCGAAGAACATGTTCGTGGGATAATCATTTATCTTGGGCTTGTGCAACTTGGAAAGTAATTCTTTTCTCACTACTATCATGAAGCTAGCTTGGACTACTCTTACACTATATGGGAGGAGAGGAACAAACGATTATTTAAAGGTTGCTCAAGATCTTTTGAAGACATGTTTCATGCTATTAAAGAGACTGTTGCTGTCAAATTACGGGGTATAAACATTAATAGAAATGATAGTACTAATATCAATATTTGTAATCAATGGGGTATAGATTACTGATGCTCTATTTGTTATCATTATTATTTGTAAGTTTTTAATCCTTTTGTAAGAACTTATTGTTTTTGTAGCAGTTATCTGCTCTTTGGATAATAAAATTATTTGATTTATCCAAAACAAATATATATAAATTAAAATATGATAAATATAATGCTAACAATGTCATATAAATTGTTAGAATAAGATTAAAATATTTAATATTTATATAAACAAATTAATTTTCTTTTTAATATTTATTTCCTCCTCCCATGTTAAAATTTTGACAGCGTTCGGTTTATGCGTTTCACTTTCCCGGGAATTCTGGGTAAGAGGAAAATATTCGGTTTGGATATAAGACTGAACATACAGAAAAATTAGAAAAATAGCTTTCTGCTAAATTGTACTTTTTAAATATTTTTTGTGCATAAATCTGTTTAAAAAAATCTGTCAAAAAAAACTTATATAAGATTAAGACATAATATAAAAATTAACTTTTAATATTTATTAAAATTATTATTTTTTATTCTTTTCTTATAGTATTTTAATTTTAACGTTTCATTTAAGAGTAAAAATGCTTTTAATGTTTAATTGAGTAATTATTTTGACTTTTATTCTTTTGGCATTTTGACGTCCAACATTTTATTTTAGGATAAAAAAATATTATTTTAGAGCGTTAATCATTTGTTAATTACAGAGTTACATTTATAGAGGGACCATTTCGTCCTAAAATAAAATGTTGGGGCTAAACTATTGTAAAAGAAGAATAAAGATTAAAGTACCTATTTAATCATATATTAGAGTATTTTTTTAACATTATATCTAAGATTAATGTGTAAATATTCTTTTCAAATTTAAAAACAATTTTCAATTTCAGATTTTGAGTGAAAAGGGATGATAAAAACGTATTTTAGAGTTTGTGTTTAAAAAAAATAAAAACGTACTTTATTATATGTGTTTTCTATTTATGGTACCTATTTTCAAAAATATGTTAGATACTTATTTTTAATAAAAAATAATTTTCACACCTAAAATTAACATAGGTTATAATTTAAATATTTACTTTTTAATTTTTTTTTAAAAAAAAAATAAGCAGAACATACATTTGCCAAACAAAAAATACTACATTAATAAATAATCATAATGTGAATTTCATACATCATACTTTAAAAATATATTTAGATTTGTATCTATATTTGTTCGAGTTTTTTAATTAGATTTAATCTTTCCTTGTATGATCCTTATGTAATCTTAAGTTATTAGTTTTGTTTAATTATTATAGGAATTTTTCCTAATTGTGTGCTTAAATTATGATTGTGATTATAAATATTTATTGTAACTCGAGATATTTCCCAATTTGAATAAATCTTTATTGTAACCAGGAATCCAACGCATTTGTGGCCCAGCCTCATAGAAAAGGTAAAATATCGTTTCTTTTCACTTTCAAAACATACTAGTAACTTTGAAGGGTCTTTGGCTTATTAAAGTGATCTATAGGATGATTATAAGGGTATATTTATGGGTTTACTCCCTCTAAATGGACACTCGGGCTTTCACTCTGTTCAGCAAAAGTTGCAATCAGTTTCAAGGATATTTGACTGATGCAAATCCATAAAGAATGCTATTAATAAATGACTTCTTCCCTTAACATTTTTTTCTGTTTTAATTTATGTGAAGGGAAACTAGCTTCACCTATTAATAAATGAGTACGTCTACGTTTTACAAATAAGCTATTTGGGGAATTAATCATTTCTGTTCTCAACATTAGAGACCTCGGTTTAGCTGTGTAACGACTTGCTGCTATGTAAGCAACCATAACTAGAAAAAACTAGTCTGTCCATACATTAAAATTCTAGTCTGTCCATAACTAGAATGCTTTGAGGTTGGCTGTGATCAACTGCTCCAGGGCATCGAAGCATTCGGGAGTGGCAACAGCACATTGCGGAGACAGTACAACATTATCCAACGAAAACAGCTCTTGCGGAATATCAGGCTCATTCTCAAACACATCCAGTCCAGCACCACGAAGCTCGCCTCCCACCAAAAGCCGCACCAATTCCTTCTCATCGATCAGAGCCCCTACACCCCACGTTTATTATCACTCCTTCCTTTCCCGGGGCAGTCATGACATCCTTGCTAATCATGTGCCAAGTTTCGTCTTTCAACGAACAACAAACAACCAGAATATCACTGTTGACTGCAAGGTCATAGACATTTTCATACCATGGAAATGAAACAGATGGCTTTTTCCTCCTTGAGTTGTAGGAAATAACACAGCCGAATGACTCCAGCCTTCTAGCAATTTCAGCGCCTATGCTTCCCAAGCCCACTATTCCAACTCGTTTTCCTCCTAACTGCACCCATGTTTGGAAAGCAACCCCATTAGTTAGTTTCAAACAAATATGAATTTGGAAACTACTGAGAGGTAAAAATGAAGTGTTCTTTCTAGATTCGGTTAATTGTTCTACGCGTGTAATTAAGAAAATTTTGAACAATATTAAATTGCAATCGTCCCCAATAATAAAAAAATATAAATGATCAAATAAATTTACACTTTAGAACATTTTTAGTTTACAAATAAATGTACAAAAAAAGTAATTGGACCAAATCGCACACTAAAGCTAAAGTCAAAGTTAAATTATACATAACAGAAAGTAAATGATCAAATTGTAGTTCAAAGATAGATATCTAATTTTACCCAAAAAGTCAAAGGTTAAATCACATATTAATGTCAAAGTCAAGGGTCCAAAGGTGCATTAATTTTTTTTCTAGATTATGTTTAATTTTATTTTTCAGATGATAATTATCGTGATAAAGTACAAAAATATCAGAAAACTATGTTAAAAGGTAAAAATGCTTATGTGGCTCATTAGGGTATTAGGAAATTGCTTTTTGAGATAAAGAGTTTGTTATAGTGCCATAGGAAGATATAGGAATTACCTAATATTTTTTGGAATATGTTTCAAAGATATAATGTCTTCTTATTTACTACTTTATTAGATTTGGCGTTCGAATTGCATATCATCTAAGGGAGACGTCGTGTCTTCTAGACTTCTTCCAAAAAATACCAAATAATCAATATCTCTTTCTATTAGAATTGTACCAAACATCCTATCTAAAAAATTATTTTTAGATGATTGCAAATGCACATAACCGTTAAATTATTATAAATAATTATTAGATCGATCTAATTATTATAAATTATCTATTAAAAACTATTATAAATTTATTATTAAATTCATTAAAATCTATTATTATTTTATGATATATAGTGATTATATGTGTATTTTAATTGTAATTAGACAAAAAAGCATCAAAAAGCCCTTCAACTTAAAAAAAAAATGTGGTGCTTATTGTTTTCTTTTTTGCATCAATATGACCTTTCAACTCGAAAAAAGAATCAACATAATCATTTGAATAACGTTTTTCGTCATTGATTAGGGTTTCGTTAATTCCTGCTATTATAAATTGGGTAAATCATACATTTCATCACTCAATTATTTGTTTTCTCTTCTATTTTGGTCACTAAATTTTAAAAAATTTAAATTCCGAAAACTTTATTTATTTGTATATGTAGCTTAAGATTGGTCAAAAGCTGTTTG